CGTGAACTACGTGTGGAATGCGAGGGGCTTGCAGGTGTTTGGACGGAGAGCTGGCTCCACAAAGGGCAGAGGGAAGGCAGGGCGCAGATTCTCAGGCACAGCAAGCTCAGACGGCGGGGCCCAGCAGACACCAGCGGAGCTCCTGCATTAGGAGGACAAGGACCCGGGTGACAGGCCTCCTCTGTGACCCCCTGAGAAAAAAGACCGCATCCAGCGGGAAGATCGCCTCGCTGCCGTGGGCCGACGCAGACAGCTGTCGTGCACATGGGTCCACGTGTGTCCAGGAGGGGCTGTCACCACGTCTGCGTGGCCACGACCACACGAAGCGACTTGATTGTAATTCCAGACCCCATGCTTCTCTGATCGCACCGTCCGAGAGAGGTCAGACCCTGAAAACTGCCCTGCTCCAACGCACCTAAAAAGCCGTGTTTGTAATACGTGTTTGTTTGCGTGTTTTTCAGTGCATGTTTGCGCTCATAAGACAATGAGGAAGATCTCAGAAGAAACGAATAAGGCTGGACCCCAAGTCCAGAGAAGTCAGGACGCCCGGAGCCAGAACACCTGGTGGTTCCCATCCGCGGAGGTGTCCGTTTGTCTGGACACAAGCCCTTGATGAGCCTCGTCACACGCAGCCGGGACGCCCGGGGACTCACCCCCATGAAAGGTGAAGCAGGGAAATCTGTCTACTGGACACGGCGAGAGGCACGTGGGGGCACACGGGGTAGACAAGGAGGACAGACGGCAGGCTCCTGCAGGACGGGGCCACAGGAGGACACTGGGGAATGGCGGCGGGGCCACCGGCAGAGGAGGCCGGGAACCCCGGGGCCACCGCAGGGAGGGATCCCGGGATTGCAGGATGCGAGGGCTCTGTCACCCACGGGCAGGGAAGCAGGCTGTCGGTGGGGCCGGGGCTCACCAGCACAGCAGGGCGTAGGGTGCGGGAGGACAGAGGTGATGGCCGAGTACGATGCCACCTCCTTCCGAGAGACGGTGGGGCTCGCCACGCGCCCGGTGCTCAGGCAGGAGGTCCAGGTGGCACGTGAGCAGACCCCGGTGGGCGTTTGGAGCAAGAGCTAAGTCCCAGGACACAGCTGACGCAGGACATGGGGCGTGGGGGTGGGGTGTACGGACGCCTGCACGGTCCCAGTGGGACCCAGAAACACAGCCGAGAGCGTCACGTGACTGTCTGGAACCCAGGAGGGAGCCTGAGGTCTTAGACACGGCGCGTGCTTCACCCCAGACCGGCCCAGGGCTGGGAGCGAGCTTCCAGCCAGAAGCCGCTGTCTTGGGACGGCTGTCTTCGGGGGCTTCTTCGCTGGCCGCCGCAACAGACGACCACAGACCAGGCGGCTTAAAGAGCAGACACTCATTTTCTCACTGTCTGGAGCCCGGACGTCCGGGATCAAGGTCCAGCCTCTTTCTTTGGCCTGCAAGTGACCATCTTCTCCCTGGCCTTTCCCCTGCACACGTCCTCTTCTTACGAGGACACGGGATTAGGGGCCCGGGATTAGGGCCCCGGCCTCAGAGCCCACTTTAGCCTTATTACCTCCTACCAGGCCCCACATCCAATTACAGGCCCACTGGCGTCAGGACTTCAATGTAGGAATTTGGGGGCAAACCACTCAGTCGGCACACAGGCTGAGGCCGAGGCAACGAGGTCAGGGTGAGCCCTGGGAACGTTTGGTGCCAAGGGAAATAATAAAGCACAGCAAAGAATGGCCCTCCGGCATTGCGTCGGCTCACGGCACCCTGTGGACACTATGAGTGCACTGACAAGGCCTGCTCCCTGAGTGCCCCACGCTCCACGGCCTGTCCTGAGCCAGACGCTCTGACCCTCACGCTGGCCAGCGGGATGGGCGCCCCCACGTCCTTACCCCGGTGCCCTGGTCCCAGCACTGCCCAGGGGAAGTCCATTCCGTGTGTCCTCAACGCCTTCCCCCGCCTCCCGCGGGACCCAGACAAAGCATTCCTACCCTGCTTTGGAAGTGCCGTCCGGGTGGCTTCGTCTGCTTTGCCTTTTCACTTCCGATTTTTCTCCCTTTTATTTCAATTTCGATTTGATTGTAGCAAAATAAGTATAAGCTGCCCTTCCGGCCACACTTCCGTGCCCAGCGTGGTAAGGGCCACCAGACCAGGAGGGCTGAGGAGGGACGACAGGGGGCCTCTCCCAGGGAGGGATCGCCTCGGGCTCTGAGGACCTAGGCAACCTCCTGCGTCCACCTCATCCACCACTGGCCCACTTAACACCTGCAACCTTGGTCTAAGCTGCACTGGCCAATATGGTGGCTGCACGGCCACATGCGGCCTTTCCAAACTGAGACGTGGTTAGAGTCCATAAGACCCACCACATGTCAAGACCGAGCCAAGAGGAACGTGATATATTTCTTTAATAATTTGATATTGATTATGTGTTGAAATTACATTTTAGATACATCTGACTACATAAAACACATTATTTTTTAAGGTTTATTTATTTTGAGAGAGTGAGCAGGGGAGGGGCCGGGAGAGAGAGAAGCTCAAGCAGGCTCTGTGCCCAAGCCTGCAGACCCGACCCGCGGTCCTCATGCTGCCCAGGGCCTCTGTCCGGCTCCGTCTCTCAGTCTGGGGGTGCAAATGAGAAGCGAGCACCCCAGGTGTCACGGAGCCTCCGGTGGCACCATCGAGTGGCAGTCCCACGGCAGGAGCATTCTGCTCTGCTCACTGATCTTCAACCTTCTTATTTAGGGCTGGCTTACTGATGATGCAATCACCACTGGGGTCACCAGGGGGCAAAGTTTTCACCTGTTCTTTAAAAAAAAAAAAAAACAACACAATGCTAACAGGTCAAATCTCTTGGAAGAACAGATACTTGTTAGAAGTCTGTGAAGGTGGGGGCGCCCGGGTGGCTCAGTCGGTTAAGCATCTGGCTCTCGATTTCGGCTCAGGTCATGAGGTCGCCGTTCGTGGGATCGAGCCTCCTGTCGGGCTTTGTGCTGACATCACAGAGCCTGCTTGGAATTCTCTCTCTCCCCCTCTCTCTCTCTGCCCCTCCCCTGTTCTCACATGCATTCTCTCTCTCTCTCTCTCTCTCTCGCTCGCTCTCTCTCTCTCTCAAAATAAATAAACATTTTATAAATGAAAGAAATCTGCAAATGTGAGCTGTTTTCTCCCCTATGTAATGTGTATCATTTATCTTCCTCTGGAGAGAAATACACAGGTCCTCACAGAAATTCGCTTAGGAACAACACAAAATAGCCCGTGGGCACTTGAGGGAGATGTGAAACTTTTCTCCCTTCCGTATGTAAAAGAAAACCAGGTCCCTCCCCACCCCAGACTCTCGCAGCAGCATCTGCCAGAAAGGGAAGCAGGATGTGCTCAGCTTTTCGTGGCTCCCGCTTACCTTCTTCTCTCGAGCTCTGCTCCCAATACTTGCCCATCTTCGACAATGTCTCTTAGGCCTGTGGCGTGCTCTTGTGGGACAGGTATGCAGCTCCTCAGAGCAGATGATAGCTAATTTTACCTGTCAACTTGGCTGGGCAATGGGGTGCTCAAACATCTCGTCACACATTACTCTGGCTGTGTCTATGAGGGCATGTGCTTGGGACCGACATTTGAGACAGTACACTGAGTAAAGCAGATCACCCTGCCTATGGTGGGTGGGCCTCATTCAATCAGTTGAAGGCCTGACTAGAACACAAGGCTCGACCGTCCCCTGAGTAAGAGAGAATTTTTCCTGCTTGAGGGCCTTAGGACTGGGACATCAACTTTCTCTGGCTTTCACTCAAACTGAAACATTAGTTCTTCCTGAGTCTCCAGCTTGATGACTCACCCTGCAGATGTTGGGGCTTGCCTGCCTCTGTAGTCATGTGAGTCAACTACTTATGATAAATCCATCCATCTATCTATCTATCTATCCACACCCTATTGGATCTATTTCTCTGGAGAACTCTGACTAATACGGAGCATCAGCAATTTCTTTGTTTCATGGCTTCAGAAGAAATTTGGTTGAGTTAGGACCTGCAGAGTGAGTTCACACTGACTTCTGAGGGCACCAGGCATGGAGTCAGGACATGTACATTCTCTCCAGCTTTATCATCTCCTACTTCTTGAAGGCCACACACTTTTTCTGGGCTTCATTCTACACACCACTTGAACAGGAAGGAGTAAGAATAATAATCCTTCACCCCTGTTCATTTCTACCATTTTCTCTAAGTGTCATGAAGGTTGTAACTTGGTCTGTCATGACCACTGTTTATTATCAAGTACCTGGCATAATGTCTGGCACATATCAGGTGTCCAGTACAAAGTTGTTGGATGGGATGGGATGGATGGGTGGATGGGTGGATGGGTGGATGGGTGGATGAAGAGATGGGTGGGTGGATGGATGGATGGATGGATGAAGAGATGAGTGGATGGATGGATGGATGGATGGAGGATGGGTGAAGAGATGGGTGGGTAGATGGATGAAGAGATGAGTGGATGGATGGATGGATGGACGGATGGAAGGATGGATGGATGAAGAGATGGGTGGATGGATGGATGGATGGATGGATGAAGAGATGGGTGGGTGGATGGATGAAGAGATGGGTGGGTGGATGGATAATTGGATGGTTGGTGTGATAGTTAATTTTGTGGTCAACTTGACTACATTATGGGATACCCAGATACCTGCTTGAGTCTTATTTCTAGATGTGCCTATTGCTGCCTTTCCAGAAGAAAAAAGTACTTGAATCTGTAGAATTTGCCCTTCCCAAAGTGGATGGGCATCATCCCATTCTTTGAGGGCCTGAATAAAACAAAAAGGTGGAAGAAGGGAGGGTTCAATGGCTCTCTGCCAGACTGCTTAAGCTCCATCACACTGTCCTTCCTGCAGGATGATAAGGGAAATTGGAGCGTTCAGGTCTTAGGAAAATGAAAGCTCCACACCCTGCAGATTTGCGCAACTCTTCTGGAATCATATTTTTCTTTATACTAAACTGTAAATGTTTGTCAGGGAAAGAGGAGATAGATGCTCGGGTAACCCGAGGCTGCTGACGTGGTGGTTACACCCATATGCCCACGCAGAACTGGCCTATAACTCTATGGGATTCCCACTCTCCGACAGGGACATGCTCCCTCGGGGAGGTGGTGATGGGGAGGGACCAGTGCTCCTCTGCCAGCACTGCGGAGGAGAGACGAACCGATACCCTGACGTGCTTAGCAGAACCCTCAGCACTCAGAAAGCCCTGGATAAACACGAGCTGTCACCTCCGGCTTCCCACCACCAGCACCCAGCCCAGGGCTCTGCACACAGGATACGGCTGACAAATATTTGTTGAATAAATAAGTTTGTTGATGTCTCTCCCTCTCCAGACAAGATCAGCTCTTTGGGGAACCTGTTTATTTTTCCAGATAAAACAGTGGCTAGCTGTGGAGTTGGAAAAGTCCTCGGACTCATCTGGCCTGTGGTTCTTGACTCTGGCTGCACAGGGGAGCCTTTATTTCCAGACATTGTCCAGGCGCATCAGGGAAGGCTCTCTGGGGCGAGGTATGTTTGAAAGGCTCCCAAAGGGGCTTGAACATGTGCCTCCAACACCGGCCATTGTGCAGATGGAGAAAGCAGGGCTCGGGCAGGGCAAGGACTTGCCAGCGGGCAGCTGGACTGGGGTCTCTGGCCCTGACTCCTGGCCCTGCGCTCCTCCACACAATTTGTACATCCTGCTGTTGCAAGGACGAGGGGACTTTATAAAAGCCACCCCATTGGGCAGTGGCCCACCAGCTTCCTTCCTCATTAACCCCCATGGCCTCTGCTCTCAGCGTGTGACCACGCCCTAAGAGGCACCAAGGCAACTGAAATCTTGTCCCCATGGGCCATGGAGCCTCTGCAAAAAGCCCCCCTCCACAGCGGAGTGATGAATGCCCCAAAACCTCGTGGATCTCAGCAGCACGGAGCATCAGGTAGACGGCGAAGAAAGCCAACCGCAACGCTGTACCCACCACCACATGGATTTGGCTTCTTGGCAGGAAGAGGAAGGGAAGCAGAGAGTGCAGAGAAGGGACCAGGGGCTTCCACCGTCCGATCTCACATTCAACAGGTGCACACCAGGTGCCAAGTACTGCTGAAGCTCTTCCCCGGATTAACTTCTTGAGCTTGCGCAGTAGCCCACAAATGTGTATTTGGCCCTGCCGCTGCTGGAGGGGCTGTGGGTACAAAGGCGAGCAGGACACACGGATGGAGAGGGTCCTGGCTCCCAGGCCGGGGGTCAGCACGGCTTCCAGAGTGCCTGCCGGGGAGAAGGCAGTGAGTGAGCTGCGATTCCCAGCTGTGCAACCTGGGCTAAGCCCGACGCCAAGCCGGGGCTCAGCCTACCCGGAACACAAGAGGGTTAAACTCAGATCTGAGCCCCTTCCCACACCAATATGCAGTCATTCCCATCCTAGAATTTCTTCCAAATCAGTTACCGGCCATTTTATTAGCTTCCGCTGCCCTCTCTCTGGGGCTCTTACGTAGGACATTTAGTCATCTCAGTGAAATTCAACTCAATAAATATTCATCGCAGACTTACTACATTCGCTTTTTGCCACCGTGACAGGAGAAAGGTTTCTATAAGATGCAGTCTCTACCTGCAAGGGGGTCCCTCCCCATCGTACGCAGGAGACCAAAAACTATTTTAGCACTGTAAGATTTTGTGCGTATTAGAGGCACGTAATTAAGGGTGTGATGGTGGGGTAGAAATTTCGAGGGAGAGCAGGATCACGGTGGGCAGTTTCGTGAAGTCTTGCGGACGAGGGCAGTGTGGGCTGGAACAGAGAGGGAACTGGCCTTTGATAGAGAAGTGGGTGACACGTCCATCAGTCAGGTTAGTGGCCAAGGACAGAGGACAGCAGAAGACACAGTGTAAAGAGAATGATTGCTTTGGGGCGGGGCAGCTGTTGAGATCGGGAGAAGAAACAAAGGAGCTTCCCAGACGCTGGGAATTTCTAGTCCCGGGGGGGGATCCCCCAACAGGTATGACACTGTGGGTGTGAAGGGGAGGGGGCTAGAAGTGAAGATTCATGCCGGGGAAGAGGCAGGCTGGGAGGGGAAGGTTTGGAGGGACCTTGGCCAAGCTGGTCTAGATTATGGAGCCTACGATTGGTAGGTCACCGTCTTACCCCGTGGGGTCCAATGATGGAATGTGGGGTGGCAGGACGGCGGGCCAGCGGGTGTCATGGCCGGGGGGGAACCATGCGGAGTCCAGGACAGCAAGGTGGCTCCAGCAATCATCTGCATATGAGGCTGGAAGACCTTGATGCAGACATGGGCACTGGGAATGAGTCCTGGATGCAAATAAAAGTCACTTCCTCCCGAAACTGGAACCCTCACACGCTGCTGGTGGGGGTGGAACTCGAGCAGCCACTTTGGGAAACCGACTGGTAGCTCTTGGGACCGTCAAACCCGGTGTTGCTTTATGACCCTGCAACTCCACAGCTGGGTGTGTGCCCGGAGGACTGAGAAACTATGTCCCCACCAAAACCCGCGCACACAGAATGTGGTCTCTCCACACGATGAGACAGCATCTGTCCATAAGAAGGAATGAAGTCCGATGCCTGCTACTACGTGGGGGAACCTTGAAAACTTTACGCTAAGCGCTTAGACAAACGTTATGTGATTCCTTTTATGTGAAATGCCCAGAACAGGGGAATCCACGGGGACAAAAAGGATTAGCAGTTGCTCCGGGCAGAGGAATGTGGGGGCAGGAAGGTGAGAGCTAAAAGCTTTAGGGTTTCTCTGGGAGGTGATGAAATCGTCTAGAATTGATTGTGGGGGCACATACCTGAATACACTAAAACGAGTGAGCTTTACACATTAAATGGTGGACGTCTGGTATGTGAATTATATCTGAAAGAGGCTGTTGTAAAAAAAAAAAAAAAGTCATGGGGCGCCTGGGTGGCTCGGTCGGTTAAGTGTCCGACTTCGGCTCAGGTCATGATCTCGTGGTTCGTGAGTTCGAGCCCCGCGTCGGGCTCTGTGCTGACAGCTCGGAGCCTGGAGCCTGTTTCCAATTCTGTGTCTCCCTCTCTCTCTCTGACTCTCCCCTGTTCATGCTCTGTCTCTCTCTGTCTCAAAAATAAATAAACGTTTAAAAAAAATTTTTTAAAAAAAGTCATTTCAGTGGAAGCATTGGCAGAATCCTGTGAAAAACTGTACACGGGAGGTGACGAGGGTGGAAGGGGATCCCACGGGCTGTAGGCACAGCCTTGGGTTCACAGGACTCTGCCCTGTTCTTGTCTCCAGTCTCCTCCAGTTCCCTTTGGGCCTGTAGCCTGCTGGGCTCCAAAGTAAATAAGGCGCGGGGGGGTAATGTTACAACAGGGAGTTGCTCAAACCAGAGGCAGGAAGCTACCCACGGAGGGAGGAGGAGGCGGGAGGGCCCCAAAGCAGGGAAGGGATGCATTCTGTTTTGCAGGAACACTAGTTCCAGCCAGGGAGACACCCCTCCTCCCCAGCTAGGTGTTTCCCCTGGTGGCCCCTTTCGTGAGCCAGTCTGAACAGGTTTGGAGCTGGGCACCTGTGCAGCAGCCCCCCGAGTTGTCCTGAACTTACCTTTAGCTCATGATAATACCCAGATCTCCTTCTGTGGACACAGTTTCCTGCCAGTGTTTGAACACAGGACGCAGGCACCACATGCGGACATTTCACGCAGGTACCGAAGTGATAGGACACAGATAGAAGATGTGAGAATACGGAGAAAGGGGAACGCTTTTTCCTGTTGGTGGGAATGCCAACTGGGGCAGCCGCTCTGGAGAACAGGATGGAGGTTCCTCAGGAAGTTAAAAACAGAACTAACCTACGACCCAGCCATGGCACTACTAGGTATTTATCCACGGGATACAGGTGTGCTGTTTCGAAGGGACACAGGCACCCCAATGTTTATAGCGGCACTATCGACAATAGCCAAAGTATGGAAAGAGCCCAAATGTCCATCGATGGAGGAATGGATACAGAAGATGTGGTTTATATCCACAATGGAATACTACTCGGTGATCCAAAGGAATGAAATCTTGCCATTTGCAACGACGTGGATGGAATAGAGGGTATTAGGCTAAGCGAAATAAATCAGGCAGAGAAAGACAAATATAATTTCATTCATGTGTAGAAGTTAAGAAACACAGCAGGTGAATGTAGGGGAAGGGGAGGAAAAAGAAGATAAAAACAGAGAGGGAGGCAGACCATAAGAGGCTCTTAAATACAGAATACAATCTGAGGGTTCCTGGAGGGGAGGCGGGTGAGGGGGCTGGGCTAGATGGGGGCTGGGCGTTGAGGAGGGCACTTGCTGGAATGGGCACTGGGTGCTGTATGTAAGAGATGAATCACTGGGATCTCCCCCTGAAACTAACTTGAAGTTAAATAAACAAAGTTTTAAAAAGATGTGTAATTCCACAATGCACATGCATGCTTCCAGGGGTACTGAACAGGCTTCCGGCACCAACCCCAAGGGGAGGCGGTGCTTTGGGAGCCACCTCCTCGCTGGCTCCTCAGTTGTCGCACATAATAAAAACCATTTGCTCAAAGCAAGAAGACGCGGGCTGATCTTCTGGCCGAGGCACCCCAAGCTGCGAACCCTCTGCGTTCAGTGACAGTCAGAGGAGAAAGCGAAAGAGCCAGGGCGGGAAACAGGGAGCTCGTCAGCCCATGGCCCGGATACACACAATCACGAATCTGCGGGAAGGCAGAGGCGAGGCTGAGCCTTCAGCCACAGAATTTCGGCATTTCGAGAGCTAGACGAGAGAAGACATCCGTCCTCACCCAGTGCACGAATCTCACCGGCTCCCCGTTAGCCTGAGATGTTCTCAAGGCTTGGGCAGGAAAGTGTTTTGAAAGTGACAGGTAGATTTAGACGCCTGAGGGTAGCGAAGCCCTCGTCACTGTCACCGCGGCCACCGCTCGCTCCCCAACCTGGAACAAGCCATCGCCGTCTTCCAGCCCGTCCTCCTCACCACCAGCGGAGGTCACAGAACAGATCTTTCAGGGACTCATTTGCACTGTGAATGCAATAAGAAAAAGTTACCGTGAAGCATTTCTACCTGCCAAGTGTCTGAAATGTGCTGAGGGCTGATAAAATGCCTCTGTCGAGGCTATGGCCGGCCACCTCTGATGATCCATTTTGCAGAAGAGCAGCAGAGGAAAGCCCAGAAAAGTTGTATTCAAAACTGGACACTTGGAGCAGGCAGGGGATTTTTCCCCAACATTTCCCCAATCACACTTTTTCCTTTCTTATCACAGTAGGTCCACATGTGGCTTTCTCCAGCTGTTACCTTGTCATTTCTGTACCGCCCCCTTTGACACTACGGGAGTGGAAGAACCAGGCAGTAAGCACGACCTCCGGGACGCCTCGCTGTGGACAGACAGCAACACTGCAGGAACCAGAGAAGCAGGCACCCTTGTCCTCACCTTGTTTTCTCCTCACGCATCGCATCTCAGGCGGCGCATGCAGACGGCGTCTACTCGAGGCCTCGCCTGCAGGCCAGCTGCCCATCTATTCCCAGCGTGACGAGCGGAAACAAAGAAGGAAGCAGACACAGGAAAGGATGAAGCAAGGATGTGGAGGAAAAGGGACCTGAACTGTTGGTGGGCTCGCAAACTGCTGCGGCCACCGCGGGGAACAGCGCGGGGTGTGGGGGGTCCTGAAAACATCACAAACAGAAATAGCACTTGATCTGGCACTCCCTGCCACTTCCGGGTACTTATGCACAGGAAACACTAATTTGAAAAGATATCTGAGACCCCATGGCCACAGAGCTATTCACAATAGCCAAGACATAAAACAACCTAAGTCCCATGGATGGATGGACAGGCGGATGTATGGACAGATGGGTGGCTAGATGGATGGATGGATGAATGGATAAAGCCATTCAGCCATAAGAAAGAAAGACATCTGGGGCCTGGGTAGTTCAGATCAAGCATCTGACTTCAGCTCAGATCATAATCTCACGGTCCGTGGGTTCGAGCCCCGCATCGGGCTCTGTGCTGACAGCTCCGAGCCTGGAGCCTGCTTCGCATTCTGTGTCTCCCTCTCTCTCTGCTCTGCTCCTCCCTCGCTCACACTCTGTCTCTCCCTCAAAAATAAATAAACGTAAGAAAGAAAGAAAGGAAAGAAGAGAAAAGAAAAGGAAGGAAGGAAGGAAGGAAGGAAATCTTGCCACTGGTGACAACATGGATGGACCCTGAGGGCATTATGCAAAGTGACATAAGTAGACAGAGAAAGACAAATACTGTGATCTCACTTATATGTGGAACCTAACAAAACAAAACAAACAAACAACAACAACAAAAATGAGCTCATAGATCCAGGGAAACGTTGGTGGTTGCCACAGTTGGGGGTGGGGGGAGGCGGGGGGGGTGCGGGTCAAAGCACAAACTTCCAGTTATAAGATAAATAAGTCCTGGGGATATAATGATCAGCCTGGTGACTAGTTAGCTATTTGTAAATCGGTGAAAAAAAATTGCATAACTGTGTGCTGACAGATGTTAACTCAACTTTTGGGGGAGATCATGTGACCATATACACAAACAGCAAATCATTATATTGTACAGCTTGGGCTCATACAACGTTAGATGCCAATTATATTTCAATAAAACTGGAAACAAAACCAACAAAAATAATTCTTTCGTGTGGAGATTAGAGAAGAGAAATGAAAACCAGATTGCCAACCAACGAAAACACTGTGGATCTTTCCAGAGCCGGTCCAGCGGCTGTTCATCCTGGGGGGGAGCAGGAGAGAGGACAGGGAGCCGGGAGGACGCTGCCTGGGGCCTGCGGGACCCCCGCGTGCCCCCCTGAGCCGCAGCAGGCAGCCCCGACTGCAGGGACAGCTGTCCTGGCTGTGACTTACTCCCCTGACTCACCGGTCGGCTGCCCAGGGTAACAGTGCCCCTCACCAGCTTAGCAGGTTGAGAAGCCAGCCTGCAACCGGGCTCATCCCGTAGCTCTCTGTGCCTTGCCTTCTTGGGACATTGTGGGTCAGCCCCAGAAGGGGGATGGGGGCTTCTGGCCAGAGCCCTCTCTCCCCTCCCCTGCCCTGCAGGCCCCAGGGAAGCTGCATCCAGCTTCCCGCTGGGGCTGTCCTGAGATGGAAGAGGCCCGTCCCCGTGGGGCCACAGTGCCAATGCTGCCAAGTGCAGAAGGGGGCAGCCAGGGGCACCGGGGAGGGCACAAGGCCCCACGCTTGCCTCGCCAGCTGTCTGAATCCCCCGAAGCCACAGGATGATGGTTTCTCACCTTCAGCTTTGGGGAGCCTGCCTCCCGCCCCAGGGGCTCTGGCCAACACGAAACCTGTCCAGGGTCTAGA